AGTGTTTGCATATCATGAGATCAAGGAATTTCCCCAGTTTGTAGAGAACATCGAGAAGCTTAGCCCAATGGAGAGGAATGCGCAAATGTATAAGCACATACAAAAAAACAGGAGGAAACAAGGAGGAACCAAAAAATATGTACCAATGACAGCATGGAAGAAGCCCCTAAAGGAGGAACAAAAAGCACAGGTTCATATATTGGAGGAGAATTACTGGACACTCCCGCCACCCCCCACGATGGAAGAAATGATGGGAATATTAGGAAGACTAAAAAAGGGGGGAAAATGCCGAATTACTACAATACGCATCAGAATGGCCAATAAAGGACCTACATGAATTAATTTAGGAGATATGGACCAGGAACTTGGCCCCGAAGGAATGGGAGCAGACAGTGCAGATGCCTAGAAAGTCACGCATCCAAGACATCAGCATACCAAGCAGCTTTCATAAAAGGCAGATCAACGGACGACCATATATTCACGACCAGGACGATTCTAGACGAACACTGGAGGGCAGGAACCAAAATATGACTTCTAGCAATAGACCTGGCCTTCGACCAAGTGAAGCATGAAGCAATATTCACCTCTCTGACATTGCTGGGACTGCCCAAATTCCTAACCAATAGAATTATAAACGCGTGCCTAAGGGAGTATACTAGTATACAATGGTTTGGGAAGAAGACCGAGCACCAAATGAAAACCAAGGGAATCAAACAAGGATGTCCGCTCTCCCCAAGGTTTTTCGCGATAGCCGTGGGCAACACCACTGAGCAAACAAGGAGGGTGGTGAGGAACTTCAGCACAGATTGCCAATTACAACTACTGATACTATTGGCGTACGCGGACGACCTGCTCGTAATCGCGGACAAGATAGAAGACCTCGAGGACTTCGTCCAAACCAGTAGGCCGGCTCTCTGCTTCACATGGAACACCACTAAAGGCCAAATGGTGACGGCCTCGGGGATTGGCGTAGAAAGATGTGGAGCAGAGACAAACACAAAATGAAGAAAGAAAGCAGACGAGTCCTTTGGAGGTGGAGGAAGAATCAGACATAAACCCAAGCAGCCAAGAGGAAGAGGAGGAGGAGTAGACATAAAGGGAGGCATGGAGAGGACAACAATAGGGAAGGGAGAAACAAGACAGAAGGAAACGAAATCAAAGGATGGAGGGACAGTTTACTAAATCCTGGGAGAGGCGGCTACGCCAGGCATATGCCAAAGTATCTAGCAATTGAACAACTTGATAAAGCTCGAAATGTCACATACACAAGTAAAGTATTTTACTCTTATCTCTTTTGAAATATCTGGTACCATTTTCGTATTGTAGCAAACTCCACGTCCGACATAAAATCTTTTTGGTCTCAGCGGCGATTTGTTTACTCTCATTCTGTCCTTCCGCCAACATACACTAACCAATTTACATCACTGCATCAAAGTTCTCTTTTATAACAGAAAATTCGGTAATTAGTGGAATGTTGAAGAACCACCCTAAGTAAACCAATTATGCGTATACCCGCAAAGGTAGATAAAGCCAATTCGAAACATCGAATTTATTTTGCATTATTGTACCGCATTGTCGAAGTCAATCTTTTACATGGGTGTCAAGGCGGTTATATATCGGCGGTAAGTTCGTTCACGTATCTGCCTGTTTACTATCCCGGAAAATTATTTCTCTTTTCCCTCACGCGCGCGAATACATTTCAATAAATTAAAGTTTTCTATATCGTCTACTTCTCACAAAATTAATGCCGCTTGTTTTATTTAGCGCGGCGAGCGGCAAATTAACGCCCCATTCTCGATTCATCACTACAAACTGTTCCCGAATTACGTCTTATTGCGAAAATCTTATTATTTGTGTACATTAAGCGAAAACTTGTCGGAGGATAATATTTGCAAATTTGTTATTCAAATTGGAGCGAAAACACGTCTTTTAGAGCTCGGTGTAAAAACTCCCCCTCGTAATTTAATCAATTTTCGAATTACCTTTCTCTGTCTATAATTTTTGTAGTATCACATTACGCCCAGCGTTTTCGGTGCCAATCCAAAAAGCAAGGCTCACTAGCCGCGGTGGTTGCGTGGCACCTTTTCTGCAATTTTTTGCGGGGTTGATAGAGCGAGCGTGAGCTTTACTTATATAAACAAATTGACATTTCGAATCCAACCAATTTGTGCAAAACCTGTTGCGTTCCGTAACGCGTTTCGTTATAGAATTATTATGAGCCCTTTTTTATTACCCATCTTCTCGCGGAAGTTTGAAGTTATCATCTTCCGCTCCGTAGCGCTCCAATTTTCCATTCAGCAAGTGAAATAACAAGCAAAAGTTTTTCCGTCCTGATAGAAAACGTGGAAAGTTGGATCGTATACATAATATTCAAATGCGCCTGTTTATGTTTATCAGTAGACTATTATTAAAACGTTTACGTTTGTTTAGGGCGTACTATGAATTTTTGATGTAATTAAAACTGAAACCGTAATTACAACAGCCAGTCGAAGCAGGTTATGGGCCCGTCATTATTAATTGAAGCAACTCAATTTAAAGTATCCCGATTTTGTCAATATTGGTTTTGCCGCTCGCTTGCGGTATTTGTTTGTAACTAAAATAATTAATACGCAAGTTTGCTTGAGATTATTAATTAAGAAGGCTCTTTCTCTGGATGCCATTTATTTCAATGGTTTGATGAATGCTGGTAGGTAATAATACAACCATAATGGCGCAGGAAAATATCACTTTCCTCCAACAACCTGGATAAGACACCATTTCGCTACACTTTTACGTACGTAAAAAGGTGGTTGTCTGGGGTATTCGGTAATTGTACAGGGTGAGTCAACGATTGCGCGGAGTAACTTAATGCCTTGAAGATAAGACTTTTCGATAGAGTGCTTTTGTATTATGATATGGTTGAATATTATCCACATTTAAAAAATTATTTGGAATTAATAATTATACAAGATGGGCCCACAAAGTAGGGCGCCCAAATGGTACATTTTTTTTAATAGAATCCCCTGTACCTATTTGAATGCATTTCTGAATTCTACGTATAATTGAACATCTTTTCTATTATATGGTTAATATCCGAAAAGCTAGCAGTTTTAAAGATAATTCGATTTTTAAGAAAAATTGGGCATTTGCAAGCGTCAGTATATATTGTGAAAATTATTACTTAAATTTTGATTCCAGGTTTTATTTCTTTTATCCTGGGTTAAGTAAAAGTCAAATAAATACATCTACTATGAAACATTAAAAATATAGCTTACAGGGTATTTTTTTGGTAGGTCCAAAATTGCACACTTCATATTAAAAAATCTCACTTTTTTTAAATGGAACACCCTGTATATTTTTCTGTCATCTTTTAGATCCTCCAAAAACCTTCAACTTTTGATAATAATGTCCTATACCTATAGTACTGATAGTTTTCGAAATATCTTGGTTTTCCTGGTTTTTATATTCTAATCTTAAATAAGTTATATGTAATATACATAATAGTGAGGTGGACATTAAAAAAAATGAATCTTTCCATACAAAAAACAGATTTTTACATAATATGCCTTGTTGGAAAGAGCTCTCTTCGTGAAATCAGATTTTACATGAATAGAGTCTTTTAGTAAATGTGATGAGTGGTAGAGGGCGCGATGTGACATTAACATAAAGTTTGCAGGTTTTTTTTTAATATTTCAAATGGAACGATATAATTATTATATGATATTATCAAATAAGATTAAATAGTGAGAATATCAGTGAAAACCGCATTTTGATATCTGTTTTCTAAGCAGAGATATGGCGAAAATACCAACATTTACAAATTTTAATTGCAATATTTATATTCATCCAAGTTGGATTTGAAACAAATGAACACATAGCAACCGTAGTTTTAAAAATGCGGTTTTCACTGATATTCTCACTTTTTCATCTTATTTGACAATATCATATAATAATTATATATCGTTCTATTTGAAATTTTCAAAAAAAACCTGCCAAGTTTATGTTAATGTCACATCGCGCCCTCTACCACTCATTACATTTACTAAAAAGACTATTCGTGTGAAGTCTGATTCCACGAAGAGAGCTCTTTCAAACAAGACCTATTATGTGAACATCTGTTTCTTATATAGATGTTCACCTTCCCACACCCCTCATACTTTATAAGCTAGAGCAATATGTGCTGCATCAAAATGATGCAAAATGGATACAACATTGCTATGCATGTATTTTTTTATGCATTTAACGACTGAACCATGAACCGTACGCCCTCTAGCTGCGAAGCTAGAAACTTGAAAATAATTTCCAGCGATATCTCTTGGCCCCTTTTGTTAACA